CCATCTCAATTTTGACTGCTTTGTTCAAAGTGTATGAGAGAATTATGTACGATCAACTACAACATGCCTTTCAAAGTCATCTGTCATTGAATATGTCAGGATTTTTAAAGCACCATTTTTGAGGACTGGAGGAAATCTCTAGACAAAAGGGAAATAGTCTGAAGAGACAGACCAGACAGACAAGGCGCGGGCTGTGTGATATATTATCACAAGTCGCTGAAAGCAATCCACTGACTGGACTTGGACGATAAGCAAGTGGAAGGGATATGTATGCAAGTAAAGGCTGACTCAAGAGACATCCTGGTAGGAACTATCCTGGTAGGAACTATATACCGGACTACAAACCAAAACAATGAATTCTTCTCAGCTTTTCAAAAATTAATTGAAAACATATGGATAAAATTCTCAAATATAATACTTCGTGGAAATTTTAATACCAATCTACTACGGGACAAATGTGGCGACACGTCGTACAAAGGAAACAAGATGAAAGGTATACTCGAACAGTTTAATAATTATGAAGAAGGTGGTAAAAGGACCAACAAGAATTACTATCTATTCTAAAACGTTGATTGACCTCATTGTCATGAATAGAAAAGACGTGGTCAAACAAAAGGGCACATGTCCCCTGGGTATCTCAGATCATGACATGATTTATGCAACCTTATCAGCCAGTATCCTGCGAGACCAGCCTAAAATAATTACCTGCAGTAACTTCAACAAATTCAATGAAAGGAACTTCCAAAGTGACTTTGCCCATACGCCTCTTCAAGTCTGCAAAGTTTTGGATGATCCCAGTGATGTTTATTACACATGGAACCTGCTCTTCACAAAATTATGCAATGAACACGCACCAGTTAAACAAATTAAAGTATGTAGTAACAGCCTGCCTTGGATAGCAAAGGAAATCATGCAGAATAACCATGAATCAAAGATATAAGACTCTGAAAAGGGCATCAGCTAAATGATTCACAGCTCTGGGATGATTATAGTATAAAGTATCAAGAATGACGAAAAAAGCCAAAGCCGATTATTACTCCAATCTATTCGATGAGGCAAAATCCGCTGCTGCTTACTGGAGACTACTGAAAAAGACATCCGGAACAACAAAAGTAAACAGGCAAGCCCACCAGTTAAAGAAGGATGATGGAACCCTTACAACAAATGACACTGAAAAGGCAACTATGTTAAATGATTATTTCTGCACAGTTGCTCAAAAATTGATTGACCCCGTGGATGAAATTCAGCCATTACACGTGATAGCCGTGAGAATGTGGATACGCTGACTATGACCAGCATCACAATTAGTCAGAAGGAAATCGAGGAAAAGATCTGTAAGTTAAAAGTGAAGAAAGCTACAGGGCCAGATGGTGTATCTGCGAGTCTTTTAAAGTATGTGGGTATGTCTATTGCCCCATCTCTCATGAGCATGTTTAAACAGAGTGCTGAAACCTGCAAGCCACCAGACCAGTGGAAAATAGCTAAAGTCAGTGCATCGTTCAAAAAAGGACGAGAGGAAGACAGCATTTACAGACCACTGTCTATGCTCAGTATACCAAGAAAATTAATGGAATCCTGCATCGCAAGTTATATCACTAATCACGTGGTTACGCAAAATTTACTTGACAACAGGTAATGGGCTTATAGGAAATTAAAGTTAACAGAACAGCTCTTAATACACCTAACTGAGAAGTGGAGGGAAGCAGTAGAAAGAAAGCTTTTTGTGGATTTCACTAAAGCTTTCGACACAGTGTCGCACAATATATTACTACAAAAGCTGAACAACCTTGGAATCAGAGGAGATATCTGGCTGTGGTTAAAGAACTATCTTACGGAATGAAGACAATTCGTCAGAATCAACGGATGCGACTCCAATACACACATTATAACTCACGGAGTGCCGCAAGGATCGGTCCTTGGACCCGTGTTATTCTCGCTCTTCACAAACGACCTCCCAAAATCACTATGCTCTGCGGAAACGTATCTGTATGCAGACGACACAGTCTACTGTATCGCAGAAATCATGGAGTTGCTAACAAACTCACTAAACAATGTTGTAGCTGAAATCCAGGAATGGTGCGACAGAAATTTCATGGTACCATACCCAGAAAAATGTAAAGCAATGATCATGCAGCGCAAATCAACATTTACTGGCCCTATCCAAGCTCTTCCTCTTGGCAACAACATCATAAAGTGGACAACCTCAGAAAGACTCCTCAGAGTATAAGTTGATAACAAGTTGTCCTGGTCAGATCATGCTGCAAATGTAGCGAAGTCCTTCGCATCCAAGTTAAGTCTACTCTGACGCATGCGATTCCTCCCCCAGAAGCAATTAGAAGACTTCTACACAAAAGTGATACTGCCATCAGTTACATACGGTCTGACAGTGTGAGGATCGTGCAACAAGACGCACCAAAACAACCTGGAGAAACGGCTGGATGGACTGTATATGGGTTGCCATGGGACACTAGTGCTGAAGATGTCTTAATGCGAACTCGATGGGACAGTCTGGAAACAATCTACAAACTGCGATTAACAGAGTTTGTCTTCAAGTGTTTAAAGGTTACACAGTCACGGAATTTAAAGATTTGTTTTTACAGAGGAATTCGCGCCGCAGAAGAAATGAGAACATCATTCTTCCAAGACCAGAAACAAATTTTATCGGGAACTCCATATGCTTTAGAGGAGCAATCGCGTGGAACACTTTAACGAACAAGGAAACAAGGGCTAAAACCTTGAAAGAATTTAAACGCTGTCTTGTAAAATTTGATACTGATAAAATGAATTTTGAACCTATTTTAGCTACAACTAAAACAAGACACTACGGAGCGTACACTTCGGCTTCGTGGTTGTGGAACTGATTAATTGTAAATGCGGAGGAATAGTAAGAAATGAAATATGGTAAGAGTAAGGTGTTAATTTGTGAAATTATGGGATTTGTCAGGATATTCTGAAAAGAGCAACATCCAAGAGGCCTACTGGCCAAAAATGAGCATTTCGGGACAAATTTTCTCTGACATATTAGCCCAGTTATGCTCTTATGACTCCATACACATCCATCTAAATTTGACTTGGGTCTAAACGTTTAGACCTAAGTCAAAATTCAATATGAGGTTACTGGCGGTGAATATCAAGTCTAACAAAACAAACAGTGAAAAAAGAATTCTCTTTATCCTTAGTCACATCAGGCTTCAAAAACAGCACAGCAGTCTCATGTACTGATTAAAGATATGTAAGGCATGGGTAAGGAGTCAATTACGTTTAGCATGGAATTGGCTAAAACTTAATGTTACGCGTTCGAATGTTTTAAGGATAATTATTCACTGACTATCAGCACGCAGGGATGTCGGATCATCACAAGGAAGTTTAATACGAGAGGAACATAGCCTGTACAGAGCTTTAAAACAGAGCATCTGCCAGCACAAACTTGACTTGAACTTAAGTAAAACTAAACAACCTCTGCCAATAATAACAAACTGTCACTTGAACTTCAGCTATCTTACGGCTTCCGCCAACTTGTAAACACAGATCTTGAAAATAGACCTTCGTCACACTTGACTAAACACAGCAGTCCAGCTCGTGGGAGAAAACTTAGTTCGTCAAAAGAACTCGCTTGGAACTTGTATACCGTTTGACATAAGGTTCAGAAAATACTAAATAGGCCAATAGTAGTAGCTTTTCGACATATTTTATGATTTCAGTAACTGATGCAAATCTGCTGACTCATGCTGAAATGTAAACATGCCCTAATTAATTATTCATGAATAATCCTAAAATGTAGAGAACGTTCTAGAAAGTCAGGCAACGCATGAAAGCAATTTTACTACGTAACACTCAACAAAGACAAACTGTCTTTGTGCAGCATGTTGTAACTTTAAATTCATCATAAAACAGTGGGAAAGCAGAGCTCACACGAGAAATGTTTTTCAACACTCAAAGAGAAATTTTGTGTCTCTGCGCGGCCACATAATATCATCTATCTATTGCTCGAGTAAATTAAAGACTAAACTCGAAGTGATCTCAAGATGTCATGAAGTAGTCTGGTCTCATTTCGTGAAATAGCCGAAACAAGCCAAAAAGTCATGTACTTGCACGCCCAATCTTGTCCCGAAACTTTTGCATCGCAGTAGCGCAATCAGCTAATCCCTCAACTTAGAGTCTCCTCTGATCTGACAGGTCACACAGGTGAGTTGGTTCAAACTCCAGGAAAGCCAAAATAATAATTCTTCCTTCCTCGAAAAAGTTAAAGAATAAATCACAGAAATCAAAGTGATCTCGAGATATCTTGAACTAATTCGGCTCTCAATTTGTCAGATAGCCGAATAAAACCGAAAACCTACTGACTTGGTGAGCCCAATCTTGTCAAAAAAAGTCAAGTTTGATACATTCCTGAGCATTGCGAATCCTTTACTTTGCGCTCCGCTGAAGTAAATAGAGATATTGGTTACGAATACTTTTAACAGTTTTAATTTTCAATTTTACATTTTCACAACCTATTTTAGCTACAACTTAAAACTGAAATATCGGTTACAAACGTTTTTAGCAGTTTTTGTTTTTAATTGTACATTCGCTTTCAGTACTCCTTATTTTTCTTGTAATTGTTGTATGCACGACCCCACCAGCAATGCTGTTGTTTTTTTTGTGCTAAAATAAACTTCTTATCTTATCTTGTATAGCCCTTGATACATCCCCCGCCAGTTGGGCCTTGAGGTAACTAAACTTCTGTACTCTCCCCAGTGTTGTATTGGAATGAACTACCGCTTCAAATGAGTCCCAGAAAGTGGACCAGTCGAGGGGATTGCCAGAAAACTTAGGTAAATTCAACTTAGGATGAAGGCTACTGTGGTTAGTATTCGACTGAGGGATGAGAGGTGGTGGCTGTGTATTCAGGGATGGTAGGCGAAGGGGGTTGAGTAAATTTCTTATCAGATAATGTAAGATTAATGAATCTACTAATCAGGCAAGATGTTTCTAGTATTTCATCTTGGATTTCTTCTGTGTCAAAAATTTCCTGTTTGAGGGCCTTCGGTTCTTCGATGACTGCTGCGATTTTCCCGTGAAGTTCCTGGAGAGTAGATTTCTCTAAAAAGTTCAATGATGATGTTTAGCCATACGACATCCATTTCGGTGGGTTCCTCCTTCTCCAAGGGATCCCTTGCCTTGCCATTTGGAGAAGTAGTCTACCACTACCAGCAAATACTCTCCCCCAGGCAGTGGTCCTGGCAGGTCCAGGGCTATCTCTTGCCATGCTCTGTCAGGTAACCTTGTGGGCTTAATTAGTGGGGGTAGGACATGTTTGTTGACTAGCTGACAGCCAAAACACTCTCTATGTTGCTTTTTGGCGTGTCGATCGATCCCAGGCCACCATACTGTGGACCTTAAGTGTTCTTTAGTCTTCACAATGCCCTGATGCCCCTCATGGGCTAAATCAAGAACTCTTCCGAAGTTTTTCTGGGATTACAATTCTTGTTCTTCGTAATACTACCTGGCCAAGGTAAGTTAGTTCATTTCGTACCACTGCAAAATCCTTAGGCACTTTGCTCTAGTCACCACTCTGCAAATGTGCATGAACAACTCTTAGGTCTTCATCTTGTGTGGAGGCTTCCTCTGTTTCCTCAATTCTCAAGGCCACTGGTAGGAGAGTGACTTCCCTTACATATTCTTCATCTTGAATATACCCCTGTGATGCTGGGATTTTTGTTAAACGAGACAGTGCATCAGCAATGTTGTTCCTTGATGAGACAAAGCACACTCTGTAGTTAAAAGACTGTAATCGCAATACCCAGTGTTTAATACGTGCTGATGGCTTCGATCCTGGGCCAAATATGGTCTTCAGGGCTTGGTGGTCAGTCACTAGGTGAAACCCAGGCAAGCCATTCAGGTACAAATTAAACCTTTCACATGTTCATACCAGAGCTAAAGCTTTTTTTTCTGTTTAACTATACCTCCACTCTACATCACTAAGACTCCTGCATAGCACACAGTGCTGCTCTGCCCATTCACCTCCTGAACTAAAACAGCGCCAAGTCCTACCGGGCTGGCATCCGCAATAACCCTTGTGTTTGTGGTCATGTTGAAATGGACCAGGATAGACACTTCTGTTGCTCTTTCAGTGTTTGGAAAGCTTTGTCCTGTACTTCGGTCCACTCAAACTTGACTCCGTTCGTGGTAAGTGCTCTTAGGGGTTCTGCGATAGTGGCAAAGTCTGGAATAAACGTGGAGCTGAATCCAACCAACGCAAGAAAGCTCCTCACTTCTGAAAGTGTAATTGGATGACTGGCCTCCTTCACGGCCTCCACTTTCTCCTCCATAGGTCCAACACCATGCTGAGAAAGGAGAATTCCCATGAAGACTATTATTTTTATTCATTCTGAAGGTACACTTCTCACTGTTCAAAGTCAGATTTTCTCTTCCAACTTGGTCATTAACATGTGCAATCTCTGGTCATGCTCTAACACAGTCTTCCCATGGCATATCAAATCGTCTGCAACCTCTGTCCCTTCTATTGCTTGCCTGATAACATGCTGGTATTTCTCAGGTGCCGCACTCACCCCAAAACTGAGCCTTTAGTACCTAAAGAGGCCTTCATGGGTAATAGAAGTAAGTGTCCCTCAAATCTTCGTGTAACTCTGTCTGGTGAAATCCCCAGCGAAGGTCCAGCTTTGAAAAGATTGTACGACCATCTAACTCTTCCAAGAGCTCATCAACAGTGGGGATAGGCAGCCTTTCATGAAAGATAGCTTCGTCAGCCCAATGGATGTCCATGCAAAGTCTTATTTCTCCGCAAGGCTTGGGTGCTACAACAACAGGACTCGTTCTACTCGCTCAATGATATCTTCCCTCAGCAACTCATTTATTTTGGCAGAAACTTTTTCACGGAGTGCAAATGGGACTCCTTAACTTTTGTGCCACTGGAGGTACATTTGGGTCAACATGCAAATGTAACTTGAAATCTTTCAGTTTTCCTATTCCCTGAAACGCCTTAGGATACAATGCAATGCAATACAATACAATCACTTTTATTTCAACACGATGGTGATTAAAGCATTGCCGCATATAGGGTCGTCATATAAGCTAACTAAAACTTAAGCAATAAAAGTATATTAAAATCGTCTTAATAATATAAAAAGTTATTATTATCATTGTGAAGCATTGTTTGTGGAGATTCAGCCCGAAAATCTAAGGTGCCTTCTATTATGTCATAATTTGCGGAAATTTCGGTCCAAACGTAAATGGAATGGTTTTGTTCAGGTGGAAATTTTCCAGTCAAAGTGGTCCACCTCCAGAGGTGGTCCTCTTTGACCTGGTGCAACCGAACAGTGCCATTCCATTTTCAGAAATTTTTGTTTCCAGTCCTGCTCAAGCTCATCACTGCAGTAGTGCATCTTAATTTGCTATTTCTTCTGGTTTTCATTAGTTCCTAAGGACAAACATATTACTGGCTTCTCCGAATGTTGATGATCGTTTCCCGTTTTTCTCTTAGCAGTGTGTGACCCTAGCCCTTTGATAGTGAGTGCGAACAAATTCCTGAGCTATTTCCAAAAACCTCCACCAGCTCAAAAAATCTCCTTGAATGATGGGGCGACAAGCATGTACGTGCACTAATTTCCAGTTACATGAAATTCAAGGATGACTTTGGGAAGTAACAACCAAAGAAGAAGATTTTCAAAAAAATTGCCCAGGAATTTAATCTACATTCTTACTTGATGGTGACTGCTGATCAGTGTTTAAGGAAATGGAAAAAGTTAGAGTCTAAACAGACGGGAGGAGAGGACAACAATAGTAAAACAGATAGAGCTAAGAAAACATGGAAGTTTTATGAAGAAATGAAGGAGTGCGTCGGTGACAACCCAAACATAAGGCCCGTATTCATTTATGAGGCGTCTAGTTCTTCCTCGACAACCAGTGGGTCCTCTTCACGGGCACATAATGATCATAGTAGTCAGTCTGATTCTGAAGACAGAGAAGGGGACGGAGCTTTTGCGAAGAAAAAAATTAGCAGTAAAGGGTGACAAGGAAGAGGAAATCACGCTCCTCAGCAGCTGAAATGACTGACTTTTTAAAAGAGTTCAGCGAAAAACGGGGAAGGGTCGAGGAAGAAAAAATAACTATTCTAAAGTCCATGCAAGAAGAAAAGAAGCAATTTTTTGCAGATTTTTCCTCCCATCTTAAAGACTTAAAGAAATAGGACAATACTTTGTAAACCTAAGTTTGAGGGACTTGCAGACTTTCACTTGATATAAGTGACTGTATTTAACTCTCTCAAAGTTTGTCTTTCATGATCTGAGAATCATAGTTTAATAGGTTCCTAGTGATGTTGACAATGTTGTGTTTTTCTTTTTCTTTGTATAGAAATACATTTTTGTTTTTAGGGAAGAAAGAATATTTCGAAATTATTAAACAATTTTGTCATCTTTTTTTTTCATTTTTCATCAACATGGGTTGGTTGAGCAATGGGAAACAGAACTCCTTATGGACATGGCCTTAATGTATAAAAATGAACAACAAGCAAAAATATTAAAAGAACTGAAAAAAAACTGTTTATATTAAAGTTGGCAGCCATGAGGTGTGTGGCAGAAATTCTTAAGTGATTTTGGCTACTTTGTCAATTATCAAAGGGAAAATGACTTCGAGCATTTTTATCCTTATTTTCATAGCAAAACGAATCCTGAGAAATGAGAACTGTTATCCAGAGAACGTTTTGATATCTTTAAGACAACGAAAGTCTTTGAGGCCAAACAAAAAATATCTTCTCAGACTTCACCTTGTGTTTGTGAAAATTAAATGTAATTTATAACTAAAGTGATGTTGTTTACTCCTGTCTTTGCTTTACTTGTTTTTCACAATCTCTTCCAGGGATCCCAATCTTGTGCACATGAAGAAATAAGTTGCAATGTGACCATGCAAATAATTTATACATATATCCACCCTGTGAGGAGAGCCTTTCTTTTGCTTACTTAATAAGGCAGATTCAAGAAAAGCAAAAAAGGCTCTGATTGATGTAGAGGCTTTGCTTGCATTGCCAGGCAACATGTATGGTAAACTGAGTGAAGTCTAAGTGCACAAGGGACTTTGGTCATGATTGTATTGTTTTTCACTTCAGACAACTGCATTTTGAAAGCAGTAAAAGTGATATCCACTAAAGATAACTTGCTCTTTAAGTAAATATAATATTAATTTAAAGGACAGGGAAAAGAAAGACAATGATTTGTTGATTAATGCAACATTCCCCTAATATGCATCCTCTTTAATTGAGCTCTTCTCAAGAGTGGTTGTGCCAAACCGTGCTCTCCATCATCATCATCATCGTCATTATCATCTTCATCCTGATCACCAAAGTAACCTTCATCAAAGTCATCGTGAATCAAACAAAAATTGTGCTGAAATTATTATCAACACCGACAGCTCAATGTCCAAGTGATCAAGACATTGCTGTTTTCTCCATTACTCCTTGAACAGCCGTATACACCTTTCCACTGTCTGTCGTACAGAGAAAAGTATATAACTGAGTTATTAGCCACCTGGAGAAAAGAAATGACAAAGTATAAAACCTATTTCTGAGAGCTGAAACTATCACTACCAAGTTCACAGATCAATGAATGAATCAATAATGCATGTAGGAGGAGAGGGCAAAGACTTTTCAAGGTTGATCATTAATTTTACAAGATGCTGTTAATCAGTAACTGCTAACAACACTATAAATAGTTTTACCCTACATTTCACCCAGAGAGACTTTTATTGGTTGATATCTATTGCAAATGAATTACATGTCTAAAAGTGTTTAAAATACAAGTCTTTTCTATGGTGATGTGCAAAGGGTATAATACTGAGAGTAGAGTGTTCACTACTCTCAGTAGAGAACTAGCTGCTTCAATGGTATTCAGTGCCAGTTCTAATTCTACGGCTCCTATGGCAGCATCTCCAACACAAGTGTGGCCAACACAAGCCGTCAACATTTGATGTCCGGATCGAAGGAAATCAGGATGCAAGCATTTATCGCTGACTCGGACCCCAATGAAATTGGTTGTTGATCGAAGAAGTGGAAAAACAGGTTGCTGACTTGATTGCGATATTTTTGTATCTCAAGCACTCAGGATCATCTCGACGCTCTTCACATTTACAGAGGAGAACAAATACCGGAATTGATCAAGTCACTTGAAAGCATTCCCTCACTGTCATCCCCCAGAGTCCAAACGAGTACAAGAAACTAATCACCAAACTTGACAACCATTTCATTCCCATGGTTAACCCCGACTGTGCACTTAGTAAATTAGAGAAAATGTGCCAAAACGAAGGAGAATCGATCGCTCGATATCACATTCGTTAACGGCTTCAAGTTGCAAAGTGTGTTTTCGCGGACCCTGATGATGTCATCCGAAGCAAAATTCTGCAAACCTTGCATGACAAAAAACTTTGCCAGGAAGCAATGGTGAAAAGGTATACGTTAAAGCAATTATTGGAACATGCTGCAAATAAAGAAGACATTCACTGCCAATCCCAGCATATGGAGGAAACACTCCCTTCTACACCCCTGCACAAAATCAGGCCGACAGAGTGCATCAGAAGAGACACCAGAATCCCAAGGACAAACTAAAGCCTAAACTGACACATAATGACAAGAAGAGGAATTCCTGCCAAAGGGCCCCAATCACACTGCCCACCCTCTGGGAAAACATGCAGTTCCTGCACGAAGAAGGGTCATTTTGCCTGAATGTGCAATAGTAAAAAGAAACCAAAGGACTCACAGGACAGTCAGCAATCTTCAGGCAAGTATGTTAGGCAGGAGAAACAAGACGAGGTACAAGAGAGACAACTCAAACGCACTCAACCATGCTATGGTTCAGGTTTGCATTAACGGGCTGAAAGGAAAGATGGAAGCAGACTCCTGCTTCACAGCAAACATTTTGGAGGAGCACTCCAGTCTGCCCTCGAGGATAAGAAATCTTTGCAACCAGCTAATACCCAGCTGTATGCATCCGCTCAAAAGGAACCTTTTCCCCTCATTGGTTGTTTCACTGCAGAAATTGAAGGTGTCAGCACTGGAAAAAAAACTGTGACCCGTTTCCTTGTTGCTAAGGGAATTACCAAGTCTCCACCACTCTTGAGTCTTGATACTAGAATAAATCTAGGACTATTACATGTGAATAACACTATCCAAGAAGAAGCCAAACAGCCTGCAGAAAGCTGTACTGGTACCTTGCCCACAGACTCTGTAGTGTCAACACTGATATCAGAGTATCATGACGTATTCTCCGGCCTGGGAAAGCACAAGCACATCAAGGCAAAGTTGATTGTGGATGAAAGTATCCAGCCTGTCGCACACAAAGACGAATCCCTTACAATTTAGCTCAAAAAGCTGCACATGAGGAACTGAGATTAAGGGAACAAGGAGTCATGGAAACAGTACCCAACAACCAACCTACTACTTGGTGTACAAATCCTGTGATAGCCCCTAAACCTTACAATCCTGAGGCCATTCGTTTTTGTTCAGATATGAGAGTACCAAACACTGCAATTCTGCGCCCTGTTAAAGAAACACTTACTGTGGAGGACATAAAGTTCAAACTCAACGGTGCCACTGTCTTCAGTTTCCTTGATATGAATGAGGGATACCATCAGCTTGAGCTCAACGAAAGCAGCAGGCACATGAACACCTTTTACGGAACTGAGTGTAAGATGAGGTACACAAGGATGAATTATGGAATAATCTCTACACAAGATATTTTTGACAAAGCAATGGATGACACCAAACATCCAAGATGATTCCATAGTCTTTGGTAGAGACCACACAGAACATGACAGAGCCTTTGAAAACGTTTTCCAACGATTCCAAGAATGCAGTCTCACCTTCAAACCAAAGAAATGCATGTTTTGTCTGCCTCAGATTGAATTATTCGGTTTTGTGTTCCGAAAAGATGGAATGAAGCAAATGCCAAGCAAAGTTGAAACTCTGAAACAAAAGGACCCACCCAAGAATGTATCAGAGGTGCGCTCTCTTTTGGGTATGGCCTAGTACTCTGCAAGATTTATTCCCAACTTCGCCGAGATGACCACGCCCTTGCACAAGCTCCCCCACCAAGGGGTCAAATAGTGTTGGTCCAGCACAGAGCAAGCGGCATTTGACAAACTCAAGGACACACTATCTAGTGAGACTGTCCTCGGATACTATGAAGCAAGGTTGGAAACAAGGCTCCTTGTGGATGCCGGTCCCAGTGGTCTCGGATTAGTTCTGAAGGTTCCAGAAGGGTGGAAAGCAGTTGACTGTGCTAGCGGAAGCCTGACAGAGGTTGAGAAATGGTATCCTCAAATCGACCATGGAGCCCTTGTCATTTGTTGGGCCTGCGAACGCTGCTACCTGTACCTTGTTGGAAGTTCATTTGTCATTGAAGCTGATCACCGGCCCCTGCTACCGCTCTTTAACAATCCCCATAGCAGACCTCCCATGAGAATTGAATGGTGGCTCTTATACCTGCAGCAGTTTGACTTTGAATTGAAATATTGCCCCAGAAGCAAGAATGGAGCTCACTACCTTTCAAGGCACATGATCCCTCTCACTGCGAGTGTCACTGAAACCCTTAACACGCGAGAACAGGTTGTACATAGTATCATCACGGCACAGCACCCCAAGCCAACTCACTTGTGGAAGTTCAAGATGCAACGAAGAGGGACTGAGAGCTCAACAAGCTCATCCCACTTGTCCAGGCTGGCAATCGTAATGCTTACAAGGCTCATCCAGTCCTTATGAAGTACGCACTGGTGTTCCAAGAGCTCAGCCACCTGGAAGGTGTTGTAACTTGTGGCCACCAGATTGTCATCGCTAAAAGTTTGTGGGAGCGTGTCATTGACATATGCCATGGAGGGCACCTTGGAGTTGTTGAGACTAAACAGCTTCTAACGCTCAAGAGAGTGGTTTCCAGGAATCGACAAGCATGTGGAAAGGAAAGTTGCTAGTTGCATACCTCGTCAAGCGAGATTCAACACTTCACAATGGGACCCTCTAAAGATGTCGCTCACCCCAAATGGCCCATGGCTGAAAGCTCCAGCAGACTTCTGCGGACCCTTTTCTACTGGGGAAATGGTTTTGGTTGTCCTAGACGCCTATTCAAAGTATCCTGAGGTAGAGATTGTTTCTAGTACCGCAACAGGGAATACCTTTCCAGCACTGGAACGAATCTTCCCAACCCACGGGATACCAGAGGGCCTGAAAACCAACGATGGATCCCTGCTTCAAGGCCAGGCTTTCCATGAGTTTGCCATGGAAAAGAGTTTCCACCACGGGAAAATAACACCTTTATGGCTAGAAGCTAATGGCCATGCAGAAAACTTAATGAAGAATCTTGGCAAGGTTGGAAGAACCACACGCAGCCAAGGGAAAGATTGGAGAACAGAGTTATATGTTTTTGTAGCCAACTATAGGGCTACACCTCACCCAAGTTATACATGAACTGAACAGTAAGGACCAAGCTCTCCACCCTCCCACAAGTTAATCCTGATGCTGAAGCTATGCTGAAGCCATGCAGAAGTACCAAGAAGCGAAGGCACGTATGAAGGCCTACGCCGACCTCAAACATTGAAGAAAGCCTCACTGCCTTAACGTCAGAGATCACACTCTTGTTAAGCAGAGAATTCAAAACAAGGCAAGCCCTCGTTTCGAACCCGTCCCGTAAACGATCCTAGATGTTAAAGGATCTATGATCACTGCTAAGAAGACAACTGATCAGAAGCTAGTCTCCCGTAACAGCTCCTTCTTCAAGAAACTGCAAATCCACTGGAGGAAGTCATCCAAGAATCCAGTCCTCAGTACCTCAGGTGAAACTTCAAGCTCTTCTTGATTTTAATGGACCAGAATCCATTGAACAAACTCAAATGCCAGCTATGCAAGAAGAGTTTTGTCAAGCTACCCCAAGTGAAACTAGCTCTGCGAAAGACAACCACCTGCCTACCACAGTGGAATAACCACCCCCATCATTACTTGCCTTCTTCTCTTGTAGTGGAAGATGAATGAGGAAACTGGAGTGGACCAAGGACTGTGTTATGGACTAAGGACTTTGCCATGACAATAAGTTGAACTTTGGTAACCTTGTTTTCTCTTGTTGATCAGAACTGTCAGCTCTGCATGGCACTGAAAATTTTCGGTTATTTACTGTTATTCATTTGTTTTTGTCATTTCTTTTTTGCGAAATTTTTGCTATTTATTTTTTTTTTTTAATCATCTGGTTTGTATCTGCCTTGGGAGAATTGTAATGTTCATACTAGATCAGCGTTACTCTTTTAGTTATCTGGGCACTTGGTTTTTAGAAAGACCTTCGCTACGAACCATGTGTGAGATGTGAGTCTTTGTGTTTACCAAGATTAAAGCTGTTTTTGTTCGATAATTCTAGTCTGTTTTCTGCCATGGACATCATAGTGCTCTGATGGTAATATGGGTTCCATCAGTCATGCCAATAACATTTGGGATTCCACTAGCTTCTTTTACCGCAGTGAATATTTACTGTCTGCGATGAGCGTTGAATCAAAACAATAATTTTTTAAGCATAACTGACATGTGAAATTCTGTAGTGCTTCAGTTTGTGGTAAAACAAGTGTAACATGGGGGATTGCTACCAGGGAAGCCTGTTGATTAATTAACAGTTGTAAGTTACTTTATACAATAATGTTCATAAATTAACTAATCAGACAACCATGTTTCTATCACTTGATCATGCCCTTAGCAACTAACCATACAATTTCAGCTGAGAAATGATAGGTGTGAAGACGAAATAGACCAATAAATTATGATATATTTAACAATTATTCCACGAGGGCGCGTTGGATATGAGATGATAGATAGCCAACGAGGCGCATAGCGCCGAGTTGGCTATAATCATTTCATATCCAACAAGCCCGAGTGGAATAATTGTTTTATTAAAAACGCCCACAAAATCTCGTTGAATTGCCCCGACTAGAACAAACCGGAAAAGACAAGGGACTTCCGCTATTGACATGTCACACGTCTATCAAAACTGTCAACGCGCGAACGGACTCGCCTAGACTGCATGAATGAAAAATCAAAACATTGTAGCGATGAACATTAGTTTTTTAAAAACTCATCGTGATTCTAGGATTTTACACAGCAGAACAGCTTAAAAAACCTGGCAGATAATGTGAAGGAAAGGAATTTTTAAGTTACAGCCGTCGAAATTACTATGAATTTGGATTTTCGGTGCAGTTATAAAAGTAAGAACAACGGTGAAAAACAACCGGTATTACCTCGGTCGCTTGTTATGAAGTTGTTTGAGGCCACAAGCTGGTTTTGCTGAACGAGAAAAGAAGCTATACTGCCGCCTCGATTGCTCTAGTGAATGGCTGCATAGCCTGTATTTGTAGCTGGTTACTTGTGATTTATATTCTTGATGTCGGATAAACAAGCTGCAGTTATCTATCGGCGAGTGACTTGATCGGCGAATGGCTTCGCGATCATGAAGAAACAACACTTGTCTTCTTTCGTAGCTGGTCAAGGTACTTTGGTTCCATGTGTTTTCGTGTGTTTTTCGACAAACTTTCAGACAAGCTCTTGTGGCTTTTTTGTTTGTTTTTGTCTTTTTTCTTACGCTG